ACATCGTCCAATATAATGACCTCAGAAAGATGTGATAGAACCAAGGATTCACTAGGTTTACTTGGTTCACTGTAACTTATCTCTATTGTAAATTTAAACTAGCTGTGGAAACAGTTTTTAACACCTTTAATTCAGTTGAAGATCAGTGGGAAGATCAGAATTTAACCACCTTGACCTTCAGCTGTCTGCATGCACTGATTATGTTCCACTTATATCAAATGGAAAGCTTCTTCATTTGGTTGTTGTGCTGCACAGATGGGTCCTGACAGTCCTACATTAGTGTACACAGTGCAGTGTGATGATAAACACTGCAGTGTGGTTTCCAGGCGGTGGGGCATTGAGGCCGGAGGAAGGTGGCTGCGTCTGTTTACTCCTCTACAGATCAGCTGCTTCAGCACACAGCAGCCTGAATAAGCTGCTAATGCTCCGGACGGAACATGACCCATCAGTCCTGCAGGTCATTAACAGGCTCTGACAGGCTGTTACCATGGCACCCGTTCCCATGACTTCTGCTCCCATGTCCAAGAGCCTCCAGGGGAAGTTTGGCCACTTAAGAGAACAATAGTGTTATTTCTGGTGTTTCCTGCTGGTTACTCAGACCCGAAAAACACACGGAGCCTTCAGCTGCAAGGAGCATGAAACCAATGGTGTGCGTGTGAGTGTGTGTAGATTTACTTTACAGCTTAGTCTTAATTAAAGGAAAAGCAACAAGATATTCATTCACTTTTGTATTCCTACTGCTCACATGCGGTTCATAAGAGACATGGGAAGTTATTTTCTACCATATGTAAACCATATGTGTGTGCAAGAGACAGGCGAGGCTGCCCAGACAGAGAGTTCTCATTAAGCACATGTTCCCACAGGTCAGCTGATGGTGTGTCTCTGTTGTGTGCTCCCTCCCTGACTGGACCTACTCATCTCAGATCCTTTCATTACCTCTGGGCCGCATCAGTGCCTCAGGCTGCACACAGCGTGGTGGTTCTTGCTTCATGCTGTGCTTTGACGCTAGTTTTGCCAAAGTCAGTCTGAGGGGAAAGTCACACCAGCACTGTTCACTGCTTAAGTCTAGAGCAAAAATACTTTGCATTAAGCTCCTGTTTGGTATAGTCTGATAATCAGACTAAAATGCCAATTAGTTTAACTTCCTCATTCACTCTGACATCTTTTAGTAGTGAGTATGTTGCTCTGGACATAGAAGCTCTGCTAGTTGTGACAAGGAGAAGTTTAATTGTCATGAAAGGGAGGTTTTAAAAGTGGTTGTTTCCCTAAGTCATCTTACACCATCCTATATAATTCAATTCAAATTTCACGTGTATGGCACCAAATCATAACATAAATTATCACAAGGCACTTTCTATTGTACGATTGAGACCTCTAACATTTTAGAGAAACCCGACAGACCCAGAACAATTGTGTAACCATCATATTTAAACTCTAGTATTAGTTGTTATAACGATAATAATAATAAGTGATATTGATATCATGATTATAATTATTATTAATAGTGTTAATAATTATGGCAGCACCAGTTAATAATAATAGTAACAACAATGATAATAACAAGGAGAGTGACTTCATCTGTGCTGTTAAGAGCTAACCGAATACAGAAACAAACTCAGAGTAAGGGGCAGGTGGACGACAGGAACGAGTTGAAACGTGATGAATTGGACTGAGGATGAGGCTTTCAAATGAGTTTTAAGTACCTTTAGGTTGAGGCTTGATTGATAAGTCTTCTCCACCTCTGCTTTGGGCCTTGCTTCAGTTAAACTCACATATTTATCCAGTTGCAGCCAGGTTTTAGTCACATAGAATAAATTAAATAGATGATCAGTTATCAAATCATTGCCAAGAAGAGATTTAGATTAGAGTGACCTAATAAAGATCCAATTTTATTATTCTGTTTTTTGGTTCTTATATAGTAGTTGTATTAATTGTATATATATACTGTAACTCCCCCTCCTGTTTACTCTCGATTTTATTTATTTAGGTGGCAAATTCAGTTTCATTCAATGAAAAACATTGACTAGGACGATCAGGATGAAAACAAAGTTTTATAACTTCAGTCTGCAACATAGACTGTTAATAAAAAGCTCTACACACAACGTCCAGCACACAAAAATAAAAAAGTGACAGCATATTGTAGAAGTGTTGAAGGACTCACTAATGACCAGGAAGAATTCTGAAGCATCACCACAGGTCAAGAAAAAAAGCCCAATCCAAACAGCCAGGTGTACAACAGGCACTGCACTATATGACATAACATACATACTTTTACAGTGCTATTTTTAGAGGGATAGCTGTGTATTGGTAAATGTTTGTTTTTAGAGTAATCCGTGGATACATAGACCTGGAGGTTAGATTAGCTCAGTCTGGAAATGTGTGTTATAATAGTGAGCAAAGAACTGGAACAAAGTCATGAGGCCTCTGCAGAGAGCAAAGTCCTCACTCACAGAATACATGGCTGCAGTGCTAGGTGTTTAGAGCACACTGGTCAGGATCAACCCTTGAAGTTGGTGGCATTGACAATGAGAGATTTGTTCTACTGCCTGGTTTAGGTGTTTATAACAAAAAACATGTGTCTTTTACTGTATTCTGTCCAAAAAACATACAGAATCGTGGCTACATGTTTACTAATGTTTCCCCTGTGGACTCAGGCCCCTGACAACAACCTGTATTTATCAAATACCTCAGAGTAGGGAATGATCCCTAACTGACAAACTGCACAATGAAATACAGTTTTTTTCTTTTTTTAAGTCCTGGGACAAAAAACTATCTTATATTCCAATAATTGGAGATATTTCTAGATGAGATTGTTAGCAAAAGACAATATATATTTCTTTTTTTTCTTTAATCTTCCTGGAGATTGAAAAATGCTGTAAACTGTGTTTATCTGCTGTGTATATGACAATGAACATCTTGAATTGTTTTGTCAAAAATAATACTTACACGAGTTGCTGTCCCCCTGTGAAGCAGGCTAACTCTCCACAATCTAATCTCATCACAGATTTATATCTTATCATGCTACAATGTGATATTGCCCATGAAACCCACAGCATATGTGCACAGACGAAGCAATCGCATGACCAACTGCCCCACAATGTGGGTGGCACATTTACTCAATGATACAAACATTTTCAATTAAACACAACACATTTGTGCAGGAATCTGTCAGGGAGGTGTGTGTGTAAGGAGCTGGGAGCAGGAAGAGGCAGTCAGTGCAACCTGCAGACATAAAGGAACAACAGTCTCTTACGGTCCACTGCATGTGGCTGACTGGCAGAGTAAAGACAGAGCACAGCTGAGCTGCAGGGAGACCATCTGTTGGTTCTGATAAGCCAGGGAGGTTAATATCAGCTAGGTTAGCATTCAGAAGAGTGCGTACCTCCGCCAAGGCCCAACCGTCCCCTTAAATTCAGTCAAGCATTGATCAGTCCCCTACATGTGGCTACTTCTTTCATCAAGATCCATGAATCATTCCCTGTAAAACTGGCAAAAACATCAAAAAATGCAATGTTAAAGAAAGTAGCCTATAAAACTAACAGACTGCTACACACTAAAGGACCATTCCAGTGTTTTTGTCTGCCTTAACTGACAAATCATATAGTGCTATCCTCCCAGTCACTACCTATAAGTGAAGTATAGACTTGAACCTGAGACTTTAGTAAAATGAGCAGAACAACCTGCACTTCGCAGACTGATTTAATATAGCCTTTATGTTGCTGATTCATTTAGATCAACATTACATGGATGGAAGGAAAGTAGCACTCAGTTCACATCCAGGCTCATGTCTGTGGACGAAGTTCACTGACTTCAAAAACAAAATACTTACTTATTGGTACATCAGTAGATAACAAGCGTCTGCTGAATCCTGTATTGACTTTGAACACTGCAGAGAACAATAGAAGTCTATCAGACCACCTTACATGTAGGGTACCCAGTGTAGAAATGGACCTGACCATGTGTCCGCATGTGACGAAAGACAGTGCACTGAGCCAATAGACAGAAAACAAGTCTCAGAGGTTGAAAACTGCACTACAGCATGCTGAATAAAAAAAACATGAATGACAGCTTCAAAGATCAACTCACATATTCAGTATAAAGACATTTTTATTGGTTGTAACTGCACTCTGTCATTACAAAATAAACCATAAACTGAGGAATTACTGTTGTGACAGCATAATCTCCTGGAGAATACATTCAACAGTTGCTTTTCACGTCAGTCCTGTTTAATGACAAGAATACATCTTATATAGAAACATATGAAGGCACAACATTTGGGGAACCTGGAATGTATTTCTAGGCACTTATTTGTCAAAAATCAAAAATAAGCTTTACATAATCCTGATCATGGTGACCTACTAAGTCTGTGTGTGATACTGTGAAACAGACACGTTTCTGTAGCCTTTCAAAACAACAACCTAAAAATGTTTTGTCAGTAAAAGTGACAGATAATCAAATGAGAATTCACCATCGTATGATGACGAGACTGTTCCAGAACCAGTCTTAAGGGTAGAGATGCTAGTTCTACCCACTACTGCAGCAGGGTGAGAGATAGGAGGCCTGGATTCATTGTAAGCTGTGGGCAACACTTCCATCTTGACATTAGGAATTTTGTAGTGCAGGAAGGAGATGGTAAAGGGATATATACACACTATCTCTGTTCCAACAATCCAAGTATATGACTCACTGGGAATTCAATCAATTTCAGCAGATCAATACTAATACCATAATTTCTGAATATCGTTATGTTCAATATTGTTTGTGCCAATTTTCTTGGAATTTTTTTTCCCAGTGGCATACTTAT